CCCCCCCTTCTCTCTCTCTCTCTCCCTCCTTCTCTCTCTCTGGACTCACCTGCTCTACGCAGGCCATGTAATTCCGCCACGTCCAGGCCACTGTTGCTGTGGTCCCACTGGCGCTGGTCACGGCTTGGGTGCTGTTGGTCTCCACCTCGGTGGCGCTGGTCACGGCCTCGGTGGTGCTGGGGGAACTGCCCGCCGTAGTCGCTGTGGTGGTACTGGTGGTAGGCGCTGCGGTGGTACTTGTAGGCGCTGTGGTGGTACTTGTGGTAGGCCTTGTGGTGGTACTTGTGGTAGGCGCTGTGGTGGTACTGGTGGTAGGCGCTGTGGTGGTACTTGTGGTAGACGCTGCGGTGGTACTTGTAGGCGCTGCGGTGGTACTTGTCCTGGTGTCCGCCACGTGCTGGACGCAGCCGCAGCCGCACCTCACCCACTCCATGTGGCACAAGCCCCTACAGAACTGATTTTCACAGTTCTTGCTACACTCATAGCTTTTACTCCCTATGCACTCCCTCTCCTGGTAGCACTTCCTCCACCGCTCGTACGTGTCCCCGTCCAGCCCGCCCGTCGGCAGCCGCATGCAGCCGCACCTGCAGTTCCAGCCGCACAGCGCCCTGCACTTCTCATCGCCCGCGCCGCACTCTTTGCAGTTCACTTTAGCGCACTGCAACACGGGGAGGGTCAGTCAGCGTACAGCGAGGAGGGGAGGGGCGGACCCTCAGGCCTCAGACTCACCTGACGGTCGTTGCAACATTTACTGTACTCCGTGTGCTCCACGGTGTAGCGGCGCTGGCGGCGGCTGGCGACCACCGTCGTGTTGCACGGGCCGGGGTGGGTGGCGGAGAGTCCTGGGGGCAACACGACTCGTTGCAGGGCTGGCCTCGCACTGGGACTCCAGGCCGCAGGGACTCACCGGTCTGGTTGGCGCACTGCAGCTCGCACTCGCTGGAGTACGTGCGGCCGTCACTGCCGCACACGGTGTCCTCGGGGGAGGGCGACGGGCAGGGGCAGAGCGCGGCCAGGGCGACCGGCAGCAGCACGGCGAGCAGCACGGCGGACTGCATCGTCTGGAGGACGCACGAGTTACTGCTGCTGATCTCTGAGACGTACCTCGGGCAGAGCCTCAAGCTGGGATGTGTCGTCTGACTGCGTCGCTTCTGACTTCTGCCGACTTGCCGCTCTCTTCTGTGCATAAATAGTGCTGATGGTGATGTAACAGTTGCAATCGCAACAGGAAAAACGGCGGCGGGGCGGGTCAGAAGGTCATCACGATGACTTCGGTGCAAAGGCTGACAGTCCTACGTTTGACTACAGTGCAGTGCACTACTCGTGAGCCCCTTATTCGGGGAAGGCTTTTGGTGGAAATTACTATTCATTCCATAGAGCAGCTGCTGCGATCAGGCTATTAATTAAGTGTAAGCCTGCTTCCATATCAATCGTCCTAAACTCGCGACAAGTTTTTAAAATTTTCAATTGCGTTCCATACCGCCACAACGATATTCTGGTACATTTATTTAGCACGCGGATTGTTTGTCGGGTTTGTTTCGACATCAGTGACTCTCCTTGTTTGCTAGTGCCCTCTGCCAGCCACAAACACGCCCTGGGTCGGGCAGAGCCAGGTGCGCTTTAGTGGCGGCATCCTCCTGGGCCTGACTGAGTGGTTCGCGCCTTTACTTCCGACAATAAACCTCCCGCTCTCTCTCTCTCCCTCTCTCTCTCTCTTCCTCTCCTACCGGCACGGTGTACCCCGACCGCCAAGCCGTCAAACGGAAAATAGTCTCTCTTGCAAAGTGCCGAGCGCTATATAGGTGGCTTGTTATGAGGGCGTCTATGATGCGATTCCTGCCCCTGCCCCCCCCCCCCTTTCTCTCTCTCTGTCTCTCTCTCTCACAGACGCTCTCGAGGTGTCGTGGATTACTCTGACTGCCGCCATGTCCGCCATCCCCACCGTGTCGCCAGCGCGCCGCGCCAGATTCCACTAAACGACCAGACCAGGAGAGAGGGATGGAGAGAGTGGAGAGAGAGGAAGAGAGAGAGATAGAGGGGGGAAGGGGGAGGGGAAGAGAAAGGGGTGAGGGAGGGTATGCGTTATTACGTTGTGCTGGGGAGAGGGGAAGGTGGAGCAAGGACTTCGGACAGTAACTGCTGTCTCCACTGCCGTCACCTCCTTCTCCTCTCTCCCTCTCTCTCACGTACGTCGAATGACGTAAAGGTATTAACCGAGCGCGTTTGTCATCCTCCCAAGTGCGCACCGCCCCCGCCATGTCACCGCCCCCGTGTGTGACATTCACGCTCGCCATTGGCGGCACAACCGACGCAAAAAGCGGTGCTTTCGCGCAGTCCGGTCTTCTTTATTAGCGAGGGTAGGCGAATGACAAATTTAAATCAAAATACTACAGGTGTGCAAACATTACTATTTCTCGACATAAGAAACTTAACAAGCTAACAAGCGAAAGTGTAACCACTGTAAAATGCTTACGAACCGACAAACTAATGGCTTTGCAACGTTACGAACAATTTCCATTCTTTCGAAAATTTTTAAATACATTAACACGTATAAGCCTACAGATTTATTGATATGTACAAAACTTTTGAGAGGTAGTTTTTGATAGATTTTAGATTTTTATTACAATATGTGACAAACCTCTGAAATGTCGTTTTCTCAATCATTTTCCCGCAGTGTGCCACGTGTGAGAGGCGTCATGCAGCACTCCCTTGCGTCCTCTATGGCTTTATTCAAAAACAAACGAGGGACGCAAAGACCCTTCGGTAATTGAGCGGCAGAGACCTCCTCGCGCACCGTATTTTTCCGCGCTAAGGGGCTCAACGACAGGCAGCAGAGCGAGCGAGAGAGGGAGAGAGAGAGACGGAAAGAGAGCGAGAGACGGAGAGAGAGCGACGTCTGGAGTCCAAATGAGCTCAACGACAGGGTACGCCCTGGGAATAGCCGCACACCGCAGCTCACTGCCTTCTAAACCGAAAATAAATATTGCTGCGGTCTCCGTTAAGAGAAATACAGAAGGCGTGAAAGATGCAAAAGGGTTTGTTCTCTTATTTTGAATTTCCTATCGGTTTCTTGAAAAGTCGTCAGCAAGAATTTTATTTTTTTAAATCCTCGCTACATTCTAGATCATTTCACCAAGGAAATTTTTTTAACTTTTGAGCGAGGAGGACGAGTTTCCGCGTGGTAGGCTGGCGGGCCGGTGACCTTTCCTGCGTGCCTCCCCCCGGTACAGCCCCCGGTGGAGCCCCCAAGGTCAGCCGCGCCAGACAGGTGGCAGCCGCCCCACCCCCCGGGGCCGCCCCGCCCCGCCCCACCGGGGCTCACCTTGCGCGCACTGACCTACCCCGCGCCGCGCCCACCTTCCCACCCACCGGAGCCCCACCGGAGCCCCACCGGGGGACTCACGGGGGAGGTGTGCGCGGCAACAGGTGGGGCCCAGAGGGGTGGCCTGGCTGTTAATCAAACGACAGGCTCGGTCATCGTCAGGTCGGGAGAGGGAGGGAGACAGAGATTCGGGAGGGAGAGAGAGAGAGAGAGAGAGCGAGAGAGAGAGAG